TCATCGGGACGGTCGCGTTGGGACGAGTGGCGGGGTCCCCGACCCTGGCTTTCGTGGCATGTGTCACTGTGGGATGGAACTCATCGTAGATGTCCCGTGCCCTGCGGAATGCTGTACATTATCTCTAACGTGTGCTGAACTTAATCCTTTAATGGTCATTGCGGCGTGTGGCCGGGCTCACACCATCCCCCCCCCCCACACCCACCCACCCATCCTAGCCGGTGTTCAGACAAGCGTAAGCTGCGAGTATTTGAAACAGTTTTGATTCAAGACAAAGAACCAGCATTACGCTTCCAGGTAAACACAAAGGTGCATTCAGGTTCTTTCATTCCGCTTGTTTGACGGTACGTAACCTGCAGCAAGAAAATAACGTAGTTTTTTAATGAGAGTTTCCACTGGGAGTTAACGCCTACAGTAACCGTTTCACTGAGACTCCTTTCTGCGATCGAGTTCTACGAAAGTGAGGTATTGTTGTGGTTGCATTAGGCATTATGTAGATGAAGCAATTATATCGCTCTACTTGAATTGTTTGCCCGCATGTCATTGCCTGATGATTTCCTAAGTAGGACGAAACGTTGCAATAATGATACTCCTGACCTAAATATACTCCGCACACCATCCCCGTCATATTGATGTATACATATGTGCATATATATATATATATATATATATATATATATATATATATATATATATATATATATATATATATGTGTGTGTGTGTGTATATGTATATATGTTGGAATATTTTCGCAGAATCCTTTCTCTTATACATGTCTGATTATAAACAACCGCTGGCTCAGCATTGACGAGCTTTTGACGCATTGTTCTAGTTTGCGAACTTTTGACCTGGGATCATCGCTTAGACGCAAAACGGTTCGCACAGGATTACTCTCATATTTGTTGCTGTTTTCATTCTAACACTTCGAGATCCTATCTCATCGTCGGAGAAGACTGGATGGCACAAAAAAATAAGTTTTGAGTTTTAAAGGACAAAAATTGTGCATTACTTTTGGAAAACACCTTTTGGTACGGATAACACAACTGAAGCATGATCAATTGAAGTAAGACAAAATCCCATTTTGTCTTACTTCGCTTTGATATTACGCTTTGATACACGTAAGATACACTCATAATGGAATACTTCAAAGACACAATAAGGACACTATCGCCACAATCACATCAATGGTACTCACAGCCCACCACCTAATAGTTCAAGAGTTATGCAAGAATTTGTTTATCCGTTTAGGGCCGGAGATAGTTTGTTAATAAATATACTTTCTCAAATTTAAAGGCGTCTTCTGTCATTGCACGTCCGTAAGATGTCAGTCTTGTCTGTCCGTTGTTGTCGTGTCAATATCCCGTCGCGTTCGTGTCGAATGTGGTCCAGAGGCGCCCCGTCACGTAAGTACAATGTCAGGCGTCGTGAGAGTGTCGTTGTGGTCACACCAATGTAGTGCATGGAACGAAATTTGAAGCCTTCGATGTTGCATTTGAACTGATGCTCTACATTGTTGCATTTCAGTTTGCCGAGTTTGTATGGGCTGTTTTTCATAAGAAAGTTAGCTATTTTCTTATTACGTTAATAAATGGCGATGCCTATTTTGTGGTCGTTTTTGCCTTTAACATGTCGACAGATAATTTCCCCTAAAGCTTTTTCGTCTTGTTTGTGGCCAGATGTCATTCGATTTTGATAATACAGTTTGACGGTTGGTTGGATGTCTTGTCTTGGTTTGCTTGTCAAAGTATCTTGTCATATGTCGTAATTTGTTTTCAACGTCAGAATTTAAAAAACCGCTGTTCACCAAGATCTGTGTGATTCTTATCAATTCTGAATGTAGTCCTGTCCAATCAGAGCAGGGCTTAAATGCGCGTCAAATGAAGGACCTTATGACGCTAATTTTGCAGCGTCGAGGACACTCACTGTCAGCATTTAAGCACCGTCCGTTGTTAGTCTGTTTTCGGTACACGACCGTTTTGAATCGCGGTCCTTGTCCATCAACAGTCACGTCAAGAAGGGGTACTATGTTTTGCACGCTTAGGTCTGTTGGGAATTTTAGACAAGACTATTCTTCAAATGTTTTTTTGAGACGTCCTAGCTGGTCAATGTCCCTAACTTTCACAAAGACATCTTCTACGTAGCGGCAGTAAATGCCCGGTCATATGTCATCATTTTGTAGTGTGTCGGCTTCTACATGTCGCATAAAGAAATTAGCAAATAAGGTCCTAGAGGTGAGCCCATCCCAAAACTATCAATTTGGCAATACATTCCTCCATCAGGCCCGCTGAAAGAAACTTCCAACGTACAGGCTTTTAGTAATTGCTCAAGAAGGCGCTTTGATATTTTGAGAGGGGAATTTCGGGATGATTGCAAACGCGGCCAAGGATGATGGATATGGTTCGTTCAATGGGCACGTCTGTAAATAGATTTTCAACATCTAGAGAGGCTAGTAGACCCTCAGGTTGACGAGATCGCATTATATCAATAAACGTTGACGACAAGCTGTAGGACATGGAAAAATATGGGGACAGAACACCATTGAGACGTTTTGCGACACGAACACGACAGGACATTGACACCACAACACCTGACAGACAATACTGACATTTTACGGACGTGCAATGACAAAAGATGCCTTCAAATTTGGGAAAGTATATTCATTAACGAGCTCTCTCCGGCCCTAAACAGACGAACAAATTATTGCACAACTCTTGAACTATTAGGTAGTGGGCGGTGAGCACCAATGATGTGATTGTGGCAATAGTATCCTCATTGTGTCTTTGTAGTGCTGCATTATGAGTGTATCTTATGTGCATCAAAGTGAAAATAGGATTCTGTCTACTTCAATTAGTCATGCTTCAGTTGCGTTCTCCGTACGAAGAGATGTTTTCCAATAGAAGTGCACAATTTTTCATCCCTTAAAGCTCAAGACTTACTTTTTGTGCCATTTAGTCTTCTCCGACGATGAGATAAGATCTCGAAACGTCAGAATGAAAAGAGCAAGGAATATCTGAGTAATTTTGTGCGAGCTATTTTGAATCTAAGCGATGACGCCAAGTCATCGCTTCTCTCTCTCTCTCTCTCTCTCTCTCTCTCTCCTCTCTCTCTCTCTTCTCTCTATCTCTCTCTTCTCTCTCTCTTCTATCTCGCTCCTATCTCTCTCTCTCTCTTCTCTCTCCTCTCTCTCTCTCTCTCTCTCTCTCTCTCTCTCTCTTCTCTCTCTCTCTCTCTCTCTCTCTCTCTCTCTCTCTCTCTCTCTCTCTCTCTTCTCTCTCCTTCCCTCTCTCCTCTACCCACCCTCTCTCTCTCTCTTTCTCTCTCTCTTCTCCTCTCTCTCTCTCTCTCTCACTCTCTCTCTCTCTCTTCTCTCTCTCTCTCTCTTCTCTCTCTCTCTCTCTCTCTTCCGGACTGAGTGAGAGCTGTTTGTGTCGTTGCTAGAAGTTCTCCTGAGAGCAGTGCCCTCGCGCAGGCCCTGCCGGATATCATCCGGACTTGTGCCGCGCACTGCCTTGGGCTTATGGTAAATTCTTCCAAAGTCGTTTCGACAGCGAGGCAGCATCCATTTTCGATGCCCTGCCGGCATCTGATGCTCGTAACGCGCAGAGCAGCCCTTGCAACAGAAGGCAACTGTTCGGCTTCAACGCAGGCTGGTGATACGCCGCTGGCGTAAGTAGGCAAATAACCGGATGGGGCGATGGTGATCGGTGAGTTCCACAAATAGCCCTCGCACTCTGCCCGGCGTGGTGAGATAGCGTGCAGAGCGGCGAGCGCACTGCCTCGCCGCCGCTAACAAGGCGTCGTTAGGTGCCCTCACGATTCAGCTGGCGCTTTTGACCGTGCCATGACTGCGGGTGGAGATTTCAGACGGACGGCCTGATTGGGCGCCGGCCTTGCTCATTACGACGCCGCTGGAACGCTATCCTGGTCGAGGCGTCAACTCATCGCCTCGCCCACGCGGCTCGACGGAGAAGCGACGCCGGGGTTTTTTTACGCCTCACCCTGTACTTGCAGTCAGTGTGCACCACGCCCACCACATACGCCTCACCCTAGGCGAATCGCGGAAAAAACAACCGGACAACCCATGGTCGTACCGCGTGCTGGTTCAAGTCCGCCCGCGCCTTCACCTCTAACATTACTTTTTCCCCCAAGGGTGCTTCTCATGTCACCGGAGATGTTTCTTACGACCTGCAATTTTATTCTACCGCTAACTTAAGCCTCTAACACGAAGCCCCACGTAATTGAAGTAATTTATAATGAAATAATATAATGATGAAGTAATTTGAGTACATCGGCATTGCCACGGCTGGTGAAAAGAAGTGAAAAACACATCGTGTTCATTCTTTGAAAAGGAGACCTACGACCTGTCGCGTCACGCATTCATTACGCTGCCGCGACATCTCGCGGCAGACTGATGAAGCAGAGGTTCGGCGATCAGTTGTGGCTCCTGTATGCGTACTATGTATACGCTTACCATAATCAGCCTGTCATGGGGCATCACGGTTCACACACTATGCGCACAACAGCAATTCTCCATGTTGAAATTGTTCATAGTCATACAATGATTACTGGTATTGCACGCGCAATGTAATTGCACCAGTGCGTTTTGTTTTCCGGTGCCTAACTGCGAAGGATGATTGCAAGGTTACGGATCGCAGCAACTGAGTTGTTGGATAAAGCGGCCCATATCGCGGCCTTCAGAAGCGCCAAGCCCTCCGCCTTCAGGCTCCGTCGCCAGTCGGTGCTGCTGCGACCGGGCGCCATCCCGTATCAGCTTCGACCGCGCCATCGGCCGCGCAGCGTGAGCCGCACGATGTGCCGTGACCTCCGCGACGTCGCGGGCAATACGGGCCACTGAATGCCAGTCAGTCGGCGCTACCCGTCCATTCATCAGAGCTGTTGCGTCCAGCGGCACCCATCGCCGCCACATGTTGTTTACAGCGGCCATCGGGCTACCCCGCCACGGTCGACTTGCCCTGAATGTGACACATAGAACGGCGCTTGATTAATATATTTTTCCTATCACTCGTAGTAAAATAATTCCCCTTCCCAGCACGTACATGTCGCGCACGTGACGTAACAAACGACTAACTAATTACCATGGTGCGGGGAATGTAGCCACTCGATGTTCACCGCTTTTAATATGCAGCAGGTAACACACGCGTCCACGGGACTAGAAAACGCCCAGGTGCGCCACAAGGAAGACGGCGAGACCGGCCGCGGCTTTGTAGGAGGGAGGGGGCGGACGCATCACTTCGTTACGGCTCCCCAACGGTCGCTTGCGTCCTAAGTGCCGTCCGGCGGTGCACGAGCCGACCCGTTCGCCGCCGGCGCCCGCTCGCTCGGCTCGGCGGCACGATGGGTTCCTTCAGCGGACGCAGTCAGTTCGGTCGCTCCCAAACCGGATGCCGCTGCCACCTCCCGATCTCCAGGACTTGTCTCCTCAGCGAGGGGGTTAGAATTCAACACCCCAACTCCTCCTTCTGGACCCAGCATAGCGTCTCTGGCCGGGTCCTCGGGGTCCGTCTCTATGTCTCTAGCCGGGTCCTCGGGGTCCGTCTCTATGTCTCTGGCCGGGTCGTCAGGGTCTAGCTCGGTGTCGGCTAGGAACGCGTCCAGCGCGGCCGCGTCTGACTCCCGGCTGATGTCCACCTCGTCCAGCGAGAGCTGCGGCCCGCGGTGGCACGGCACCGGCCGCACCTCTGCCGGCACCGACTGAACGTCAGCGGGGGGGGGGGGGGGGGGTCACAGACGGTGTTAGGTCAGACAGCGCACATACAGACGGTGTGAGATCAGACGGGGTGCAGCCGACGGTGTCAGGTCAGACGGGATATGACAGGCGGTGTCAGGTCAGACGGGGTACGGCCGAGAGTGTTAGGTCAGATGGGATACGGCAATCGGTGTCAGGTCAAACGAGGTACGGCAAACGGTGCCAGGTCAGACGGGGGCACAAAGATGGTGTCAGGTCAGACGGGGCACAGCAACGGTGGCAGGTCAGACGGTAGCACAGGCGGTCTCGTTTTAGACAGGGTGCAGAGAGATGATATCAAGCGGGCTATAATAGACAGCATCGACAACCCCACTCCCCACCCCCCTCCAGCTCGTCGTAAATTACAAAGACTTACGAGCCACTCGATGAAATTTACGGCAATATCAACACTGGCAACCAGCGGTAGATCTTTGATCGCAGATCGAAACTTCAAGGGACCAAAATTACGAGACTGGATCCTGTCTGAGCTGTCGATCTCACTCTGAGCGGATCTCCACTCGCATCGGCATCACGCCGGCTTGCGGTGTGATTTCCGGTCATAGAGATCCCCGTTCCGGTCCGGGTTGCCTCCCACCCGGCTGGGGCTCGCGCGGCCGCGTCGGCCCCCTCGCGACGCGCGATCTGCGCTCCGAAGCCCCCCTCCCCCCCCCACCCCCCCACCCACCCACCGTCCAGGGTCTGGTGGCGACGAAAGTGCTCCAGCTCCTCGTGCGCCAGCTGGTCGAAGGTGGCGTAGCGCTCAACCTGCTCGCGCCGCTGCCGCCGCTCGCGCTGAGTGGCTCGCTCCAGGTGGCGCTGTGCCGCCTCCACTGTCGGCAGGAAGGCGCCTTAAAGACAGTGTGTGCCCTTCGTATTATCGTTGTATAAGACGTGTCCAATTTGTTCTATAATATCAATTTCCTCGCAATCCGCATAAATGACTGAGAATTTCTATTTGAAGTAGCCGCTCTTGCGGGGGAAATCGCGCTGACCTCCCTGCTCACCACTATGAAAGTAATCAATTTAATTCGCCTTTCTTTTTGCGGCGTGTATATATATATATATATATATATATATATATATATATATATATACCGCGTGCGTGCGTGCGTGCGTGCGTTTCCAACGTCTTTTCTGTGACGTTTGCAACACACTAATATTTCAGAATCCTTGTGTAATAAATTCTACGTAAGCTGGAGATGCCTTTGAGAGAAAAATGCAAGTATGAGGCTATCATCCCGCGTATTAAACGAAACGCTATACTATGGCTTTCATTTCTCCCCTTTGGGGTTTAGCACAGTGACCCTTTTCGGGGCACACTAAGTTTTGGAAAATGGTATTTCACACGGTCTTAAGTCACGCACACGTCTAAACTGAAACCAATGCGCTTCTCGGTAATAGGCCCTTGCCGCCCGCAGAGCCAACCACAAACGTTAACTTGTACTGACGTCATTCATACAGTAGAGGTGCCACTTTTATTCCCACAGGCCCATAACTTGCGAGTTAAAACGGCTCAAAAAGGTCCCTCTAACCCCCAACAGCTGACAACGGCGCTCAGCAGACTGCAGATTCTGCAGACAACGGCGGTTGTCATGACGACGACGGTCGCGACACCTGAATTTGTCGCGGACTCGGGGTACATTGCGGGGCTCCCCCAGAAAGAATGAAGTGAAGTGCTGTTACAAAGCGTCACAGCATAGTTTGGATTCGAAAACGCTGGCGATTTGTCTTCTTCTCACACACTGATGGTGCTGCAGTGGCACAACTCAGTGTTATTGCTAGACTAACTGGTCCTGGGGTTTCACCAGAGCATATTCCTGAGGCATGCCTCACGGGTGGGACACTCCCTTAAGCCACTGTTCGAGGCCTGGGTCACGCACGGCACCGGGATGGCGGACAGCCGTCAGGTGGCGCCGGCGAGTGACGTCAGACGGCGCCGGCGCGTGACGTCAGCAGCGTCGCCGGCGAATGACGTCAGCAGCGTCGCCTGGCGAATGACGTCAGCGGCGTCGCCGGGGCCGTGACGGAGCATGTATGCTTACAAACTAGGCAAACAGGACGCGCTGCGGTGGTCTGTTGGCATACCAGGAACCGACGGCAAATGACAAAATGATCTGCGGGGCCGAGAAATCCTGTGGTGTGAGCACACCGGACGGGTTCGCTGGACACATGTGCAGCGTGCAGATTATCGCCACGAACGCCGCGAGTCCCGTGTGAAAGCGGCGCTCCACCGCTCTCGGCAAGTTATGGCCTACCTTGCAGTTCGTCAAAGTGCTGCTGCCTGGTGCGTTTGTAGGCCTCTAGTTTAGCTCGTTCGAGCATCTTCCTGTCCTCGAGGCGGGACACGGCCGCCTCGTGTTCCAAGTCCACCAGATGCAGCTCCACCCGGGAAAACTCGGTCTGCAGCGCCGCTGACAACGGGACCGACGCGTCAGGCCCCGCGGATGGTGCGTGGAGAGGCCGTAGCCCCGTGGATGGTGGATGGAGGGGCCGTAGCCCCGCGGATGGTGGATGGAGGGGCCGTAGCCCCGCGGATGGTGGATGGAGGGGCCGTAGCCCCGCGGATGGTGCGTGGAGGGGCCGTAGCCCCGTGGATGGTGGATGGAGGGGCCGTAGCCCCGCGGATGGTGCGTGGAGGGCCCGTAGCCCCGTGGATGGTGGATGGAGGGGCCGTAGCCCCGCGGATGGTGCGTGAAGGGGCCGTAGCCCCGCGGATGGTGGATGGAGGGGCCGTAGCCCCGCGGATGGTGCGTGGAGGGGCCGTAGCCCCGCGGAAGGTGCGTGGAGGGGCCGTACCCCGCGGATGGTACGTGAAGGGGCCGTAGCCCCGCGGATGGTGCGTGAAGGGGCCGTAGCCCCGCGGATAGTGCGTGGAGGTGCCGTAATCCCGCCCACTAAGCACGACGCATCGTGTCACGACGTGACACGCAAACAGACAACGGGCGGAACGTCACGACCTTCTAACAGTGGAAGGGTCCCCAGTGGAAGGGTCACTAACAGTGTAAGTCAGCGTATCGATAACTGTTCGACTAGTATCCTCGTCTGGTGTGTGTTTGTACGCCAGGATGTGGCCAATTGAAGGGAGCACTTTTTTACTTTTTGTACTTTTCAGTTATTGTTAGATCAGGCGCGTCCGGTTTGATTGGTAACGCCTGATATATTTCTGAATAACTCAGAATTGAGCCTTCAAGTAGCCTCCCCGGAGGGATAAATTACATCCAACTCTCCGTCCACCACAAGGAAAACAATAAAATTAATCCGCATATTTTTCTAACGTGCGTGTTCTGCAATGTTTGCAATACGCAGTTTCGTCAAAATGTTTGAAAAATAAATAATACAAAAGCTTACAAATATTCCACTTAAGAAAACAAATCTTCAAACAGGAGGCTATTACCATGCGCACTCAACAAAGCCTTTTACTTTGACTTTGATTTATCCTCTATAGCGTTCGTGGCATTGGCTCTTTTCAAAGCGAATTTTTCATTGGAAAACAGAGCATTTCATGGTCTATGGTAACGCACTGGTTCAAAATTACCAATGAGCCTCTCGGTAAATGGCATTCGCCCCTCGCCGTGCCGATCACAAATATTTATTGGTACTGGCGTCTTCACACCAGTTGAGATTTCACTTTTAAAACTGCAGGCACGTAATGTTCAGGGCTAAACAGCTCAAAAGTGGTACCTCTCGCCCTTAACAACTGATGGCAGCCCTTAGCTGATTCTGCCGTTGTCATGACGACGGCAACCGCGACAACTGCAATCGTTGCGGACTGGCGCTACACTCTGGGCTATCTAGAAAGGGCAATTGTAGCGATGTGACGAGCGTTGGCAGTGTAATTTGGACAAAAAAAGAGAAACAAGATGTGGGGCACTCGCTGATGGTACTGCAGTGGCACTACTCAGTGCTATTGATAGACGTAACTGGTCCTCAGGCTTCACCAGAGTATGTTTTTTTTTAATACGTCCCACAGGTGGCGCACTCCCATTAATTTCTCGGCCGTCGTCGAACCTGATAACGGCCGGATAATTTAATGGCCGAAATGTTGGCACACTAAAACACCAGACGAGCACGATAGTCTGAACAAATATCGCAACTGTGGCACTAATAACCCACCTTAACATCCTAAAATTACAACAGAAAGTCATTGTGTCCAGTCCGTCTATCGCTGTTGCCGTTTGCCACATCTAAGCCTACGTAGCCTAAGCTGAAGAAGGAAAATTATCAAAGCTGTTTAAAAACGCACACTTAATATCGATCAAAACGCCGCATTGGTTGCAGGGCTGCAAAGGCTGCTAACCGCTAATTTACTGCTTCTGAAAAGACTGAATATTGTAGACAAACCAACGCCATGAGGTCAAAAAACCGGAAACTAGTGACGTGATGAAACCGTCACCAAACTGCCAGGCCTGCCAACTTTTGACAGGGCAGTTTCTCCTAGGATTCCGCTTTAAAGCTCATACCGAGTCACACAGCGCTGCAGGGTTCTGGTACAGTTTGTCCATGACTCTAGAAAATGGCCGACTTTAACGCAGAGACATGCGCAGACGAAAGCCAGCGCAAGGCCCATCAAGGACTGAGACGATGAGGCGTGAAGCCGGCGCCTGAGCGCTCCAGCCTGTCGTCGGCGTAACGCCTTACCAACGGTAGCCACCATGCCGTGTACTTTGTCGGCGATCGCCGGCAGCTCGGTGAGACGACGGTGGAACTCAGTCATGTGCGCGTGCTCCCTCTGACACCGGTCGCGCACCGCACATATGCTGAGATTCAGGTCCTGTGAATGGGTGAAACTGATAGTGGCCGACAAAGCCAGTATGGCAGGAGCTACTTGGAGTAATCTTAGTGGCAATGATAGAAGTGCACCATCTGATGCCGCCATGCGGTCACCAGCCGGGGACTCACGTCTGCTAAGGAGATGGTGCGCTCGGCGTTGGCGTGCAGCCGACTCCACTGGTCCTGGCGGCGGGAGAGCAGCCGCCCGCCCGCCAGCCAGTGCACGTCCGGCTCCTCCTCCCCACTGGCCAGCTGCTGGTCCGGCCCGGTCAGGCGCTGCAAACTGACGAGCCGGGTGAACGTCACTGGTCATCACCATAGCACTACGCTCCACCCCAGTCAGGCGCTGCAGACTGACGAGCCATGTGAACGTCACTGGTTGTCACCATAGCGCTGCGCTCGAAAGACAGACAACTGGGCCGATCAAATGGGAGATGTTGACATGGTGATAGCGTGGTTAGTTGCATGGTGTATAAATACCTGGTACATAACAAATGTATTTTGCATTCTGTGATATTGCAATCTAGCTTATTTTGTTCTTCAGACAGTAATAAAATAATCTTAAACTGCAATAAAGGTTGAAAATGATGCTCAGAAGCTTCTACTCATTTTTTCAGTTTTTGCTCTACTTTATCAGATGTGAAATGATCAGAGGGGAAGTTAGCTTATTCTAGAAAACACAGAAAATCTGCTGTAGATGGTCGGTATTAAGAGGGAAAATGCTTTACTCTATGCTAGGGCGGTGTCCCTAATTCCCATTTCCAGATCTGTTTGCCACACAAAAACCTTTCCTACTTTTAATATAACTATTCTCAGGTAAATATTATATCAAAATTTCAAAAGACACATTAACTCAGCTGATCAGCACTATCAATTGAGAAAATATGGTTCATCCAAAAATGAGAATGTTTTGTCATGCTGCCACACAAAATTTGAATGCCACACTCAGGGAGATGACATATTTATTTGTTCTTCCTTTACACAATGCACTACTCAATCCAACAAAATTTCATAATGATTCTGTTCAGCATTTAAATCATGCGGCTGTGCCTCTCCAGTGCTACAACCACAATTGTGGTCCGATGGTGGGCGGCCAGTACCCACAGCCAGCACGCTGCAAGTTGCTGGTGATACCAACACAGACTGAACATTGCCAAGCCTGGAGTTAGTGAGTTGGTTATGCACAAAAAGAACTTACGATAACATGGAAGGCATTCCACTTAACTGACCAACAGCCAGTCTGCAACAGGACCATCCACTGAGCTGGATGCCAACACAGCATCTGTGAGCTGAATCTCTTAGTAGGGTATGATGAATGCAAACTCCTTGAAACATTGGCTCTCTGTATCCTGACATTGGCAGTTGGCAGTGGACATGTAGCAAACTCTGGGCATTTGGAATCATAGCATGCATACCTTAAACTGTTGCAGTGATGTTGCTGCTTAGCTGGACATAACCAGCATAACATGTACTTTTGTGGTCAGGACACATAGTGCTTTGCCAGAAATAATAGGTGTTTTGTTTCAAGATACCTAAAGGTACCTGAGGTAGTTATCTTACCTATGAATGACATCATTCTGGACAGCTTTTATCCTGTCCCTAATGGTGCTGAACATGACAGCTTACTAGTCTTGTAAATTCCTGTCAGTGAATGGAAAGTTAGAAACAATGCCTGCCAGCCAACATGCTCCTCACTGAGACTTTAACAGTTTGTCTGGTTCAACTAGTTCTCAGTTTTACTAGCTCTCTATACATGTTAAACAAAACTTAAAACGATAATCCCATCCGTTTGTTGACATAAAGTAAGGCCCTTTCCAAAACATAATTCGTCGCATCATACATGTCGGTGAATTACAAGCGACCCCACAAGTTCGCATCCGCGATCAAATCCACTCATTACACCATGTCACAATTCCTTGACTGCCAGGCCGTTACCAATCCGTGCCGCACACGCACCCCAATCCATACGCGCATAACCTTTCACATCACTGGGCGCATCAGTATTTGTATGCATTAGAATTGTTTACCACACACATGCGCCATAATGCAGAGCTTGTTCGGGCAGACCAGCTGATTCTGGCCTATGACGTCTTTAAATGCCTCAACTACGCATGAACATTCATCGTCTTTAGTACGCGATGCAGAAAGAGAAATTTGAAGCATGATTTCAGCGAATAACGCCTAACTTTTTCCGGTACCACCATTTCTCAACACCAGGGCAAGGGCATCGTGAAAGGAAGTATTCCACATTGATATGGGGTTTCGAAGTGAAATGGCCGTTTTGAGACCTGTCGGAGCTGCTCACAATCCTGCCCTTCTTCAGACCTAAGCCCCGCTAGCTTCTAAGCTATACGCCTGCAAAGATGGGGAAAGGTATTTTGAGGAGAGTATTCCAGTCACATTGACATTCACAACGTTATGGTAACGTCATACAAATCCTGTCATTCCATAAGCCATGCGGTGATCAAAGCCAACACAAACGTAATTGTCCAGACGTTCTTACCTGGTGCTTAGGAACGCCATTTCGCAAAGTAACGGCCGCCGATTGGCTCTCAGTCAGTATTGTGGAAGGTACGACAATTTGATCAAACCATGACTTATTAAGGGGCATATTTACTACACCGGGCATTGCGCCCTCTAGAGGAGTCTTTCCTTAAGCTTGTTTCGTACCTAATGCTTACTTCGATACCTTTAAATGTGAAACGTTCCCCTTAAGATGGTATAAGTCTAAGAGATCCAAGAGACTCAGACTCAGACTCAGACTCAGACTCAGACTCAGACTCAAGACTCAGATGAGATCCAAGTTCAGAACGCCACTATTCAGCACACGAGTTTGAGAGGGTCCGGGCACGGTGAGTTGGGACAATAGCGGAGGAACCTGGGAGGTGGTGTGGAGAGGGAGGGGGTAGCTTTTATCTGCCGTTTCTTTTCATGCAACGCCAAAGGACTGATTGCCAACCGTTCCTTCCAAACGATGTACTCCAATAGAAGTGCCACAAGGAATACATAATTTATTGACATGAGCAACCGCAGCACAGCCCGACACAAGCCAAGTCAAACAAAGCCGTTGAGGGAAGCAATGTGCAGCCAACGTTCCGTCATCACCACGCGCATGCGTCCGTCCGAGCATAGTCTATAGCTGCTTTCGTAACCGGATTTCAACCCGGTGTCCCGCGTCTGGACATCACTGGGGCACGAAAGGGAAAGTCAGCAGTGGTCGGCTCGCTTCTGGACTTAATCACAACAGTTTCCAACTTTATGGACGTCATCAACTCGCCGAGGCGTTGCGCATGGCTCAATCACCAGATCAGGTTATCCACCTCCACGCGGCCCATCGCTGCCCCACCGTCCAGCCACCGCAACATTCCGCATTCCGGCTGCAATCCAGTGACATTCTGACGAAAACCACGCCCATACTTATATGATCTGGCACGGCATCCCAACTAGCCAGCGAACTTCCCCCGGGAACTTCGCCCGCCCGGCGAGGAGAGGTACTGCAGCGCATGACAGGGCCGCGCGCCCTGACCTCGGACGCGTCTCGCTCCCGCCACCCATCCGTGGCGGACGGACCTCTGAGACAGGCTGGCGTGCAGCTCTAGCCCCGCCGCCGCGGTCGGTCACACCACGCCTTGCGGGTCCCACGCAAACTTGGTGTTTCTATCAAGCGCCGACAGCAGCGACATCTGACGGTCGTCCAGCGCAAACTCCAGCTGCATGTTCTCCCGGATGTGCCGCGGATTGTTGGATTTCGGTATCACGCCTGTGGAAGGCCGCCGCGCCTGGTCACCATGGCAACCCACGACACTCGGGAGAGGGAACAAGACGTTGGCAGATGTGGTGCTCACAATTCGTGACTGCCAATATTGAAAGGAACGCGCAGTAAAGGGTGAATCATCTGCATCGCTCACTGACAGTCAAGTTCACACGATCGCAACGCACGTACTGAGGGATTGCTGCAGCGCCCACTTCAGCAGCACCTGCGCAGGGGACTTGTTGACTTCCTTGGCCACCTCTTGTACTGCCGGATCAACCAGCAGCGGACTCTTCTCCACCGTTGTACCTGCAAGTGCGTGAGCGGGTTGTTTAATCGGGACTCTTCGTCCTGCCTGCCATTGCGTGAGTGACTCCTCCATTGCGTGAGTGCCTTCTGTCATCAGAATCTTGCAATTTAACTGGCCCAAGCGACACGCCGTAAAGGCTGGGATGTTGTACGATAACAAGGCTTTATGGGAGCGTCCATGATTTACTTTATGTAATTTAAATCGTTGCATGTTGTTATGCCAACCAATTGTTGCGTGTAACAAGCGCACCCTCCTATATGCCAATAGCCAAACGACCAAGATTTCAAACTGGACGGTGTCGAATTTCAGTAAAATAACCACCTACATGCAGTGTTGGAACTCTGTATTTCTTTGGACCTCCGTGTTGAGCTGTCCTCCCCCCCCCCTCAATGTGGGGCTGGGCCCCACAATGTTGGGCAGGGCCCCACAACATTGAGCTGGGCCTCCACAATATGACCCTGGTCCCCAATACCGTATCAGTACTTTGAAGTACTGGTAACTTAAAATGGTTAACTCAAAATTTAGGCACCATGGAGATGCATTTTAAATCCCAGTTTATGTGTGTGCTTCAGACACAACACTAATATAATTACTGTATTACTGAAGTTTCATATGTCCATACACTGTGCTCGTGAAATGAGACGCAAATACCGTTTTTCAGATTGTTGCGAGTAAATATGAAGTTCAAGAGCATCGCTCCAATTGGCCTCGTGTTGCGCAGGTCACTGGTCAAGCCACGGATGACCCGCAGCTACAGCGCAAGCGACGAAAAAGGCTCCAGTTTTTGTAGGCGTAGCGCTAGGGGCGGTTTATTATTTCGTCATGAAGGGCCACGCTTTACAGCGGTGTCCCTGAAACTTTTAGCCCCCTCCCCCCCCCCTCCCACACACACACAATTCCCCAGCCGAGCGCAACTTCATGTTCAGATCCTTCTTTTCTAATGGGGAAGCTATCGTCCCCTGCGCATCGCGAATGGCTGAACATAGGTAAGTATGTACGTGTATGGTGCACGATCGTCTTGTTTACAGACTGATCAGTTTACGTACGTCAATCTTACGACAAAACCGGCGGGAAGTTGCATATTTTAGGTAGCTAACCTCACAGTGAGTGATTGTGTGTCACGGCGGCTTTACAGCACTATGGTGACGTCTGCTTCTCACCCTGTCAAAACGGGCGGACACAACGGGGATCGAACGGCTCAGTGAATGGTTCAAGGGAGTGTCCCCACCTTTGAGGCATACTTCATATTCTAGTGAAATCTCAGTCGGTTAGTTACGTTGAATAATAGTTCTGGGTAACGTCACAGCAGCAACGCCGAGACATAATAAGGATATTAACTATAATTACTTTATAGTCAAAATTACGCTGTTAAAGCTTTGCAACAGCACAAGCTTCTTCACTTCAGTCTCGACCACCGTAGTCATGACTAATATCAAGCGCACCTCTACTGGCGCAACTAAAGGAATGTCTCTGATTGCGCCAGCGGGTACGGACTTGTTACCGAGGAGCGCATTGGTTGAAATTTAAACCAATGCCTCACCTGAATTGTGTGGTATTCTCATTCCTACAGCCAAAGTGCGCCCCGAAAAGGGGCACTGTGGTAAACGCCAGAGGGGAGAAATCAAAGCCAGAGTGTAACGTCTCGTTGAAGTCGCGGGATAATAGCCACATGTCCGCATAGCATCCTGTCTAAACAGTGCCTAAAGCTTTCCTAGCATTTTTTTTCGTAATGAACGTTTTGACACATCGGTGTGTTGCAAGCATTACAAAACACACACGTCGAAAAAGGCAAGGCAAATTAAACGCATTGCTTTCATAGTGGTGAGTAGGGAAGACAAATAAAACTCCTCCCGTAGGATCGGCTACTTCGACTCGTTTTCGGCACTACTAATTAAATCGTACCATTTAGAACCAAAGATACGAAAACCGACGGCTATTTCGTAGCCCGCCCAGCCGGCACAAACAGCTGTCCTGCATTTGAGGATAAAATTTGTCGGAAAATGCGGCAATTGCTACCTGCGATGAAACTGCCCCCCCCCCTCCCCAGCTCCCCCCAAAAAACGGGTCGCGCACCCTTTTATGGAACGCCAGCGACTGCAGCAGACATACTAGCGCTCAAGGGACGCGGCGCAGTCGGGGTTCGAACATTGGCCTCTCATGTGGGAACCAAAAGCGCTAATCTCTCGGCCATTACGCCCCTGGCAAGAAAAGATCGTTATCTCGTATATCTGGAACTTTTGCATCCGTTTTTGTTTGATCAAGTCAGTACATAACCACATATGTCAAGGGCCATGTGCGGTTTTCTTATGACGAAAACGCATTTGTACTCTTACTGTTCCCAAACGTCTTAATCATGTGCGATGTTTCGCGTATCTAAAAAAGCGACTTAAATGGCCTGAGACAATCTAGCGTCAACGACAAAGCTAAACGCCTTATTGCGCGTCAAAGTTTCGAATGTACGTATTCGGCTGCACACATGCGTCATTGCCTTGAAAATTGCTTTACGGAAACTTGAACCTTCTCGTTATCGTTTGTACATATTTCCCAGATTACGAGCGTATTGAACTGCTAGCGTTGTTTCCCTACACACCTGTCTTCTCATTGGTGGTGGATCGTATTGTAGGTATCGTCCAACGTGAAGTGTATGTTAGAAAGATGCGGGCCGAAGGGACGACAAAACCATTCCCTTTGGCTGCGCTAACCTGGACTGCCGTCGGGGGCGCAGCCGGTGACAGCAAGAGAAGGGTACCGCGGTTACCAGGGCCCCGGCTGGTGGAAAGGTAGTAACAGCATTTCTTTGATTGAAAGAGGAACCCAGAAGCCACCAGAAGATGTAATTGATTCCTCATGCACTTGTAAGTAAATACCATGAAATCAGCCATGAATTAAATGGCTGTAATACGCATGTAATAAACCGCGGGCATATTCACCTTAACATGGCTCATTCGGCCTTTCGATAAAACGATAGCAGTCGGAGTCGTTGCCGAACTTTCTCGGGACATTACAAAGACACTGAGGGGCTGGCAGATTGAACGCCAGCGTAAATCGAAACGGGGTCGAAAATTTACATCGATATGCCCAACCCTTGTTCGCGCGAAATAAACCACAATTTCCTTAGAATCCGTCAGAGAAAAGTTACATAAACAGATGTGAGCATGCACGCTTCAAAAATGCCTAGGAGAGAGAAAACTGACGCTCGGCGTTGTGGCTTCCATAGGCCTAATGAAGTCGGTCATGCATTGAAATCTCGACGGGGCCAACGGGCGGGCAGAAAGCATCACACATCGGAAAATGGTACTTTCGAACGCTCTGCGAAATCATTCGTATAAGAGCAGAATGTTTCAGGATCGTATATTTCACCTTTGTGTTTTTCAGACTGATCTCGGAACACATTAATACGCACGGCATTACAGACTCATAACGCAATGGCGTCACATCGATTGCTCGCGTTGCTGTAAATGCTAATTCCGCTCAGAGAATCAATCTCGAAATCGCACAAGTGACATACCCTGGTCAGAAGCTGAGTGGCCCTTCCGTTCCAGCCCGGGGTACCCAGCAGATTATATTATGGCGATACGGGGAACCACAGAGGGATACATCATGCATCGGTCCCGTTAATGGTGTGGCCGACCCTCTGACCTGGGCGTCTGGCACATAATGGACACAGGGATCGGCACTGATGTAAAATGATCTTCCAACGGCCCAGGGAGTCCAATAATTGGCGCCGAGACACCCACGCCGCTCATCACCAGCCAATCAGGGACCGGCTCATCACCGATGAGCCGGTCCCTGACTGGAACGGTGCGGAGGATCTCTCGTTCGATACTGCTGCTTCTGACCGACACAGGTCACTGTCACATTCGTGAGTACAAACATTTTCGTCCATCTCTTTCGTCATTTATGCCATGTCGCATTTCACCGTCAGAGGTTCATAACCAACGCAAGATGCCTGTTGAAAGTAGGATTTCCTCTCATGTGCCTGTTCGGCAAATATGCCCATGGCTGACTTGGGATCCATTGCCGACACGGGACCCCCTGTTACGTACTGTGAGCCAGTGACAGGGGCTTTCGCCATTTTAGGGGGCCCGACTAATGCAAGAGGTTTCTTATTAACATTTACAGGCCCCGGGTCCGTCTCTTCATAGAAAAGGGTCCTATGACCCAGACTGGCCTCAAACCTCACTATTCGGTATTGATGGCCTCTGTCAGCTGACTGGCGTAGAAAGCCTCACTGTCCCAGGGATCTCCCAGTCGGTGCAAGACGGCTTGGTAGACCTCCGACTGACTCTTGAGGGTCGAACCTTCTGGCTGGGTTCCCTCCATATGCCCCGGCCTGCCCTTGGGGCCCTCCGCCCGGACCCCTGATCGTCGGCCCCTCGGCACCCCCGGGTTCTAAGGACCTAAGTTTAGTCACCTTCCTATGGCAATACATAATAAAGATGTTTGAGCAATTTGATGCGCCCCCTGAAATTTGACGCAACTCGCAATTGAAGGTTTAGGAGCTCCTTTTGGTATCTCTCTAGAATTGGGTGCGTCTTAAAATACAGGTCATGGCACCCGAAATGAAGGCTTTGGACATATTTTCGCCGAATGGGTTGATCCGTGATTTCGTCAATGGAGCGGCACGGGCATTGCAATTTCCCCTGGCATTGTCGTCTCTTAAAATACAGAATTTGGGGGCCTTTTAGGCATTCCTGAAATTGGATGTCCCTGGAAAATGTAGGTTACGACTCCCCGAAATGAGGGCTTTTGATGCCAATTAGCCAAATGGCGAAAACCGGCCCGATAAGGAGCCTCGTCAGGGTGAAAGGCGCACAAATTATCGCTGAAATAAACGCTATGGTTCCTCGCAAAAAGTTGGTGACCCCTGCTCAGAGAACCGACCAAGGATTTCGCCCTGGGTGGAAGGCGCAACATTGTTATTCACGTATAATTTTGTGTTCCTCGAAAATGAATGTTTGGTGCCCTTGTGGTGTGGATTTTTTGCCCTTTTGCCTAATTGAATCGCCCTGTAGATTTGGTGCCCCATGAAAATAAAAGGCTCTGAGCCCAAATGATAGCTTTGGTACTCTCTTTTTCGAATGGGCAATCTAGAATTTTGTAAAATGGACACGGCACGGATGTTGTGGTGATCCTGGAATTCGGTTCCTCTCAAAAATAAACATTTGGGACCTTTTGCTGCCGCGGACCTGGAATCTGGTGCCTCTTTAGAATAAGGTTGCGTGGTTCCAAAATTACGGTCTGTGGTGTCCAGTCATGATGACATTCTGGTACCAAAAAAGGCAACAAAACGTGAGTGGCCCAAGGGGGTGGGTGGCCTGGCCTCCTTCCCCTCTGGATCCACCCCGGTCTCCGCATATTGTCGGATTACAAGCAAAAGAAAAAAAATAAAATATCGACAATCCTGGAGCATCGTCATCACACCATTGAATGAGGCATCTTATTTAGCCCCAGAGGCTGGTACTTCTAGGAAGAGTCCGACAACTCTTCAAGATCACTGCCTTTCTGAAGCTTCCTGGATCGGTCTCGAAGCGGCACCATTTGCGGGCGCGTGCGGGATTCACCTCGACAGTGAGGTGCCGTGGTCATATGGCGGCTGTTTCTTTCTCCAGCAAATGATCCGCCTTTCAACCAATCAAGGTGGAAAACCGTCATGTCACCTTCTGGGTGCTATGAGGCGTATGTAAAGATGTCTCTTGTTCATCCTCAAGAGATCAACTCTTGATGATAAACACATCTTGCAATATTGACTACCTCAATAACACCTTTTTTTAGCATTTGAGCGCCATTTAACAAGTACTTCCTAGTATATGGAAGTCGTCAACTCATCATGGCAACTTTGAACTCAAAAGACAAAACAAATCAAGAGCTAAGACCTTTCTTTCTAATATCAAGACCAAATTATGGCCCGAATACAATACGCGAAATTCGTGAAAAATGCGTGTGGGAAATAGGATGGATCAAGCTTATTATTTCGCCTCCCCCCCCCCCCCGCTCCCCCAATGAAGACACACATTTCCATCCGTGCCTAAATGCCAAAATTGTTATCAGCTAACGAGGTATCTTATGACGAAAATTAGTTAGTAATGGTTTCAGAAAGCTCCTCCCTAATCACCCACGACAATTAGCGTTCAGTCAAAAGACGCGGTTCGAGAATCCGTCTACGCTTGTTCTAAAAATTATTAGGTAGGGGATACTTAGCACGTCATATCAAACTAGCCGAAAGAGTAGCACTTGGCATACGAACACTGTTTGATTTCCGACCTTCCAAAACATGGCTGATGTTACTATTTTTGAGCTGATGGGGTTTCAACAAAATACTCTGCTCAGTCAAAACTCATTGAACGCTTGGATTTCACATTTCATTTTGACTAAAAGTTTTGAATGGGGTCAGCAATTGCGCAAGAATAGGTGGAGACCTGTAGCAACAAAAAGAACATTCTGAGCTTCCACAAATGCCAAGCAGCGAAAATGCGGCACACTTTTACATTTGCCTTCAGCTCCCAACGCCGCAGTTCTACGACCCAAACACTGGCGTAAAGCGGGGAACAACATCGCGTACAGGACTCCAACGGAGCCAATGCCGAAACAAAACTGCAAACACGTTGTAGCAAAAATAACGACCAGCCGGTACAATATGTGGTTAACTTGTGGACAGCGAGGTGTCGCAACCACTATATATGAAGCTCAAGCCAAACTTTTGGATATCCCATTCTCTTTACCACGGCGTGTAAGCCAGAATAACCGTTTGGATATCCAGCTAAATAAACGCAAGCGTTTACAGATATCTCCGTCGACTTACCAAGAGAGGAATAGGCTTGCACGTGAATGCTGTTCTTGCCGCAAAACTCCCTCAGTTCCTTCTGCTGATAGTAGGGATGACATTCAACCTGCCCAAAACAAGAGTAATGCCCGTTAACCCTCACCCTGATGGGGGAGCGTGATGGAGCCCCGTTCCCCCAGGGTTTTCTGAGGTTACCTCTCCGACATGCACAATTGCGCCCAAATTCTCAGTGCATTATGGGACGCATTGCGCATTGCGCAGGCATTGCGCATGTTCTGACGCCAAAAACGCGTTCTTAGCTTTCCTGTTTCAGAGCGCGGTGGTTTTTAGGGACAATGCAAGGTGATTTACGGCCGGTGCGGACGGCGGGTGGCAAGCGACGATTCCGGTGACCGCGGCAGGCCGACATTGTTACATCAACGGAGCTTTCACAACTGCATGCTCTAAGCACATATAACAAGAAACACGCCCGTTTAGATTTCGTGTCGCTGCAAGGCACAGTCTCGTACATATAGGCATCAAGCTGTTCACATGGCATATGAAGCCAAAGAAGTTCGATTTTCGGGAAAATTTTACCTTTGACCAGGCACAATGGGGTCAATCATTGACCTAGCATCGTAAAGATTACGACCAATCGCGAGACGTCGTTGAGACTAATCCTTGTCATTTTTTGGTAGCCTCTAATATTTTTAATTTCAAAATGTTAGTTGGCATCAACCCACCCTCCATTAGTCTACGGTATGAAAAACGACGAACCAGGGATCCGGGCGAGGGTTGAATACGCACACATAAAACACACTATGACAACAGATACACACAACACATCGAATAACACCGTGGTGGCAGCTGATGCATGTGAGCGGACAAGACAAAACCGTGTAAACAGAACCATCGCCTAGCGCAAAAGTGAGGGCATATTTTCCACGCGCGTCCGCGCGCCGGCAGCGCTGCTCACCTGGTTGACGTGCGGCGCCGTGGAGCAGATGTCCAGCAGCTGGCGCAGGTGGGCGCGGCCGTAGTTGGAGACGCCGATGGCGCGCAGCGTGCCGGCCGCCAGCAGGTGCTCCAGCGCGCGCCACGAGCCGGCCCGCAGCTCGGCGTGGCGCGGATCGGCCGGGTCCAGGCCGGCAGCACCTGCGCACGGCCGGCGGACTGCCTCTGACGGAGCACAGCGACCACCGGGCGCCCAGACGGCCTGGGTCGGACGAGACAAGGGACCAGTGGCGACGAAAGCCCGTTTGAGCTGGGTGGAGGTGGGGTCACAGTCAGGTCTTGTCCCCTCCCTGCATATAACGCCATGGAGTTGCCGATGTCGACACTAAGTTTTGCGAAGTTGTGGAAGGGTATCTGCCCCTCTCCAATCCGTCGACTTTAGAGAGCCGTTTCTACTCATCCAGTCAAGCAGAGACAGAGATGATAAAGGTGCCCCCCCCCCCCAACCCCCAAGAGCGCGTGGGGTTGCAAAGCCCCGCGCCTGCGTGCAATACCAACCAACACCGACACACACTCGACAATCGCCACTCATCCACTTCGTCCCCTGACCTCCAAGAAAAAGACCAGTCACGGCAGTCACCGAGGCCGTCATGGCATGGCACACCACTCACCGGGCCAGTGAATGAGGTAGAGGTCGATGTAGCTCGTTTGCAGAGCGTCCAGCGAGGCGGCCACGGCCTTCAGACATGACTCATAGCCCTGGCTTCGGGGCGCTGCCGGCAGCATTAGCAGGGGACATTAGCAGCACGTGCCACAACCGCTGTCTCCTGGTTTGCGGATGAACAGTGCCGTGCCAGTCAAGCCAGAAGCCAGCGGTCGTACCGCAGCAATAATTCGACGTGTCAAGCTACGCGTTGCAGCAGCATTTAAAGCACGCGCCGCGCTCATCATCCAGAAATCCTTTCATGAGCGCATTTGGCTGCAGTGCTGAGGCGCGAGCTTCACATATGTCAGGATGGAAGCGCAACACAATAAGACAGTTTTGCTAACTATTTTGGTCTGATTTGATGCTAGACTCGCTCGACATACGCACTGGCAGTGGCTGCCTACTAATCTCCAAATGGCAACGCAGCACTACACTCGGCTGGCACACATGCTCGCCGAGTGTTTTCGTGATTTCGGACCGACGCTGCGGACCGAGGGCCAAACATCTATGACAAAGACATACAGAAGTTCAATGCCGTTCATGTTCAATACAACAGTCTGGGTCCAGAAGCCTTATTCCTGCCTGTCTAGCGCGGCAACATCCACAACTAAGACAGCTACTGCTGTGTGTGTACGCACTGCAAGTCTGACACCTGGCTGGCTTGATCCGGTCCAACAGAGCGGTGCGCGCGACGCCGAGGCGGCAATGGGGCCGTCGGCCGAAGCGGTGGGCATGCACCCACTGTTCTGCACACACCCAGTTTGCTGGTGAGGAACACCTCCGGGCGCGTTAGACCGTGGGCGGGCAGGAGCCGGGCCAGCGCCGCACCGATTGCCGCCTCGTTCCGGTACCCCTCAGCAGTGTCTGCAGCATGAAGATTGGTCAGGGTGGCCACTCTGGTCAGTCACGGTTTGGAAAGTCACAGATGGTCAGTGGAAGAGAGACCATCAAGCGGAATCAGTCAGACATGTCAGAATGATGGGTCAGTTGGACAAAATTGGCCACAGAGGATCAGTGAGGGAAGTTCTACTGAAGGATGTCAGAGTGCATTTGTAGAAGTTAGCAGTCATGGGGGGATGTTAAGGAATGCTTGATAAAGCTGGGCAAAAGAAGAATCTTGACATGAAAACTTTTAAAAGCCTCCTGGGCCTTCCATGTCATTTGACACACATTTGAGCTCTGTGTGGTAACTGGAGTATAATGCAGTTTACAAGTTAGGAAGTCGGCATCTTCAGGAGATAAGCTTATAACTAGCCCACCCCTGATCCATGCTTGGTTTTGTAAATCTGCCAACCTCCATTGGGGCACTCACAATGCATCAAAAGTAATGGCAAAATGTTTGTATTTCCTGCAAGCACTGGCCAAACAGCTCACCAATAGATCTGTAGCCAGCATCAAGTGCAGCATCCAGCAACTCTTCCATGTTCTTCCCAGCAACTTTGTATGTGCCATCTGCAATACATGGTTCTATATATAACTTTCTTCCTGTAATGAGTCTATAGGAAGATGACCTGACACTTGATATGTATGGATGCGTTTAATAGTTTTTACTTAGAAATACCCCAAGAAGCATTTGTGACTATGGAATTACCTTACAGCTGTTAGATCATCCAGCATGCATGAACAGCAGCAGCATGAACAACCAAGTTGAAGACACCTTACTGAAATAATTATTTGTTGCTCTTGATCACTTACACATATACTGATAATATTGGAAAGTGAGCAGCTCAGATCACAGACTTAGCCCTAGGTGATAAGGTAAAATGCAAGCTCACAGTTTTGGCACCATGAGTTCGGAATTACTAGGTGTTGAACTTGCAGGCCTTCAATATGCCCAGAGGTACTAATTAAGCAAGCATGTAGTGTCAACATTGCCTATATTGACAGCACTCCACATTTCAGGCCAGACATTTGACAACAAGTGATGAGGACAGTCAGCAAGGAATTTCACCTCAACACTACAGCACATGAATCCAGAAAATACTTAGTCTCATTAATAGCCAGTAACTCCTGGTGCACCTGTTGTTGATAACTAGGCATAACAACTCTAAACTTATAATGCAACCCTGTTCACAACAAAACAATGCATAAAATAACATAACAGAATGTAGCATTACAACAGCGTATCACATAACTCAGTCCTCACGACCTGTGATCTAAAAGCTTTCTGCCATTTCCCACAGCTTCTCTAGCCCATATATAATGCAATACCTGTCATGTCAATTATAAATAAATTTCCTTTAAAGCTTTGGGATTCCAGCCCAATGGATGTACTGCTGTGGAGAGAAAAGCTCAGATTGGTCATGTGCTTTCCTTTGAGGTGCTGAGAAAAGCAGTCAGTGTTAGCAGGTTCAACACCTATTCACACAGAATACTTCACAGCATTTGATCCACCTGTTTCCAGGGGCTCCTTCACAGGACCCCCCCCCCCCCCCCATGTCCAGCTTTGAACCAGACAAAACCTTGGCATGCATTCATGTGTATCCCGACCAAAGCCTTCCACAGTCTTCAATACCTCTCAATCTCTCTACTCACATGACACTTTCGGAAGTCTCACGGCATTGCTTAGAAGCATTGTGTGTTCTGCTGTTCCAGTGTCACGCCTCCGGCCCACTGGTGCACACGGTACACCCAAAGTCCCTTCTGCGTTCGACACTCGCCACAGGCGAGGCTCCAGGCCACAGGCACTCGTCACAGCCTGTACCACCACCACACCCGTCCCCGTGCCGGCTGCTTCAGTCTCCTCTTTACCGCCTGTCCCGGCCCCCGCGGCCGCGTCGCTCGAACTGAGGCGGGAGGGAATGCGAACGCCTCTGAGCGGCACCCACCAAACTAAGTAAACATTCACTGCCGAGTGCACAGGCGTTCTTTAACACCTTACGCTAGACCTTTCTTAAAAGAAGAATGCTCTAATAGTTGAATTGTTGTCATTGTTCGCGCCAGATTTCGGAGGGACATTGGTGACGTGGGCCGCGGGATGCGTGAACTGAGCGCCAGGATAGGGGATAGGGCACTGCTGTAGCCGGTTCAGCAGGAGGTTCAGCCGCGGCCTCAGCCTTCTCAGTAGAACATTCAGCCCCGCCAGTCCTCTGCGTCACTAGCAGACACAAAAAGGGTGCTGCTGGTCCAGCCGGTACAGGCGTCCCCTGTTCGACTGTGGACATCGGTATGGCCGATGCCAGTGCGACTGTCCGAGTCCGCACCTGACGTGACGACTATGCCGTCTGGCTGTGCGACTGTCTGCTCTGCAGTGTCACCTTTACGAGGTTTCAACCGATTGAAGTGGACCAGCAGTTTCCTGCGCCTGCCGTCGCACAGCTGTATGCGATAGTTTAGCTCACCTGTTTGGGCAAGCATCACCGCTGGTTTCCAGGGCCGAACGAACTTGTGAAAGCTAGCCTCGGGCGGGCACCTTCCGGGACAGGCACACCACATCACCCGCCTGGTTGTCGAACGTGTTTAACTTACGGCCATACAGATCTCGGTTTGCGGTGATCTTCACCTCTGTGCGTTGTCGCGCGATGCTCTACGCTTTCTGCAGCCCAGGCGGAGGTGATTCACGTAGGCTGAGAGCGTCTCATGTTCTGTTTCAGCGGTCGCTGGGGACCCGATGTTAGCCTCGGCCGGCAGTCGCGGCTCTCTTCCCATCATTGGGAGGTACCGGCTGAAGCCTGCGCTGTCATGCGCTGCGCTCCGATAACTGAGGATAAGCAGTGGAAGATATTCTTTCTATGCGCGATGGTTATCATCGAGGTACCGCGAGAGCATGCCCTCGCAAAAAGTCAGAAAAAGTTATTCGGTGGCAAAACGAGAGCTTCTAGCGATGGTCGCGTTTGTGACACACTTTCGTAAGGCAAGAAGCCCTTGGTTTCTCGCAGATTTCTTGGCAGCGGCAATGCAGCATGAAGCAAATATTTCACCGTGCACTGGTGATTTTTCGGCGACTCTAATTCATGTATCCTCTTGAAACCTCAGATCCTTCGTGCCGCACCTGTGTTGTCATGGCCATAACGTTCCGGAACCCTGGCTGTCCAAAGACATACCCAAGAAGGCTCCTGACTGCATCAGGCTTTTGACACCCCATACTGGGTCCTCAATATTGGACGCCACTGACAGTTTGCAGCCTTGTGAAAGTCCAGCCCCCAGTGTTTGAGCGTTCCACAATATTGTGAGGATTCTTCACCATCTTCATTCTTCGTGGCTATTGGCCGCGCGTGTGACACGGTGATTAGGGACCCAGTCGTCATCGACGTGGTCCTCTGTAATTCGCACCAACAAGACAGACGTGAGGAAGGGTTATGCCCATTTCGGGTTATGCTCCCTCGAGCTCTGGGTCCCTCCCTCCCCCTCAGAGACATCCCTTGGGATAATGACCCGACGTCAGTGGAGTCGCATTGGACCTGTGCATGAACCTAATGTTCACACAGCCGATGTTAGTAGCAACAAACTTTTGCATCATAGTGTTCGCAAACCTGAAAAACTTATCTTAGATTAGATCACGGGGGGCGGCGGTCAAAGAAACCATCCATCCATAACTCACTGAGAAACATGCTCACTAAAAGAAGAAGTGGCTCGTCAAGGGCAATTCTTACACCTCAAAGTATACAAATAGTTATAAGTGAGCTTAATTAACCATATCTAATGCTTGCTTCAATATCTTCAAATGTGGAACTTTCCCTTTGATGGCAGCAGGTCATACCAGGAGCTAAGCCATTACCTGAAGTCAGCCCGAGAGCACCCCACCGTCTGGATATGGATACATGCCTTGAAGAAGAAGGTCCCATGCACAGGGACAACACAGAAGCGATTCTAACAAGGGCCATTGTTTTGAGTGTTAGCAGGATTCAAATCAGTGGGGGTCTGGTGCGAGACTTTAAGGACAACCCCAAACGAGATTGGTCTTTTATTAAGTCCTTGAAGTCAGCAGCGCACATATCTCCCGTTCTTGAGTGCAATGTCAAAGTTTGCCAGGGTGATGAGGAGCGTGCCAACTGTCTGAATATGTGTTTTGCTCGTAAGTTCTGTGACTCTAACCCTCGTATACCGCTTGGCCCACCTTTGCTCGATGCGCCTGGACTAGACAGCTTTACCGTACCACACGGCCGTATAGCCCACCTGTTACGCGATCTCAGTGCACAAAAGTGCATCTATCTCAGTGCATCTATCTCATAAGGTAAACAAGCAGACGCAGTTTACACCGATTACTCTTCAGAATTACGTAAGCTGTTCAGTGCATTTGCAGAGAACATTTTTCATATAGAATAAAAAAGTTACACTTTTGCTATTGTTTCGGTAAAGGCATGTTGCCGAAAAATCAACCCATCTATATTTCTACATTCTCTCGGTTTTTCTCCGAGGAATAAGGTTTTTACCACTGTCTTATCGATCACTCTTCAGCATTCACCAGCGGTGATCACCTTCTTCTGTCATACAAGCTTCGCTATTCTTTTTGCATCATTGGCCGCGCGTACAGCTGGCTGGAGTCGTACTTGAGCAATCGTTCACAACGCGTAGTGCTGAACGGCAGGCAGTCTGACTGGATTCCAGAGCGATCTGGTGTCCCGGAATGCAGCATCCTGGGACTGTTGCTGTTCGCCTGTTGTCTGGCTGATGATCCTGACCAAATGGGGAGTGAGTGCCTTATGCACGCTGACGATGTCAAAATTTATCGCCGAATCTATAACGTAGCAGATTGTCCTCACACTTCAGGCGGATTTGGATCGCCTCTGCGAATGGCCCAAAAATGGGGACTGAAATGGAAGTCAGATAAGTGCAATACCATCTCATTCATCCTCCGCACGTCGCCTGTTGACTACTCATACGCGCTAGACGGTACCCGCTTGGATAACTGCCAGCAGATTCGCGACCTTGGCGTCTTCCTGGACACCGAACTCACCTTTGCCAATCACATAAATTCATCTGTTTCAAAAACAAATGGGGCGCTGGGCCTTCTCATGCAAAGCGTGCAAATGCCGTCGTATCCTCATCAAGCTCAGTTTAATCACGAGACTCTGCTTCGTGCCTTCAACGCTCATGTAAAATCATAGATAGAATACGGCAACGTTATGTGGAGCTGTGTTGCCGTTTCCCCCATCTCGCCCGGTTCGAAAGACTATAACACTGGTTTCTTATGCGGTTGGGTTCGAGTAGCCAGTTCCGGTGTCCTCCACTGGATTATGAGCAACTTCTCGCTTGCTTCAAAACAGCAGTTATCGAGGCACGCTTTGCTCAGTCTGACATCCTATTTCTATATAACGTGTATCGTCACAGGCTTCACCCGTCCGGCGTTCTCGGCACACCGGCCTTTTCCATGAGCCATTTGCAAAGGTCAACACTGCTCAAAATGGACTTGCCACACGACTACCCCTTGTGCGCAATCTCTTTTTTGCAGCATTCTCCCCAAACTGACTTCTTCCATCCAACAAAATCATTCCGATCTGATTTTTTTAGGTTCGCTGGCACACGTGAAGCATTCTCTTGATGCTCGTTGTGTCTGAAAGTGTAAGGTGTATGTGCGACTATGTGTAATGTGCATGTGTGTGTGTGTGTTTGGTTAGGTCTTTTGTTTGTGTTAGTATCTTATATTTATTGTTTTCAAAACTGAACCGCTTTCCTAATTGGGCTTTTGCCCGTGTAGTGCGCATATCCTAAATATACAAATAAACAAATCAATCACACCACTGAGCGTAAGCGCTATCACTCTAGTCCTAGAAGCGGACCTAGGCGGCTGGTTCAATGCGACGCGCCTGGATGGCATGAAGCCCCTGAAATGTCAAAAGTAAGAGAACTAGAGACCCCGAACGCACAGCGTAGGTGGACTCTGTGAGTTCGTTTGCTTTGAATACGACATACCTATCTCGTGGCCATCGGGTCCAATAAGATGAAAAGGATTAGTTAACTCGAAATTAGTGTTGGAGACGCTCACAGATCGCGCGTAACCAAAGCTAACGAAAGCATCTCAACAGTTTTACGGAAGGACTGAGACGATGCATTAGTATCACAAATGGAACCATTGCCCGCAGTGTCGCCCTCGTCTGGTGTGTTACTTGTTGGTACGTACAGCACTACACTTTACCATACTAACGTGTGTGTGTGTGTGTGTGTGTGTGTGTGTGTGTGCAACATGTACATTGTACACGCTACTCGTGCACAAGCATGTCTGGCTTGCTGATTCGGACATACTAACACGCCAGACGAGGGCGAAGTTCAAACAGTTATTCCGTCCATGATAGCTGCATTTTTCAAATGAAAGGTTACTCAGATCCATTCGGATCATTTCAGGTATGTGACCGTAGCTGATCATGAAAATGTCGGAAGATAAAAAATCTTTCGGTCTCAATTTGATTTTGGAAGAGCATATTCGCACTAAAAATACCCTCGGTTAAACAGTTTTAAAAGCCAAGCGTTTATCGAGTTTTTTCAGGTCAGTGATCTTTTCTGACCTTCATAAATTGACTGTAATACACTCGTAAATGACTAGGTGGCTATAAACTATAAACGCGCGTCGAAAACTACCCTTTTAACAAGTTTTGCAGTCAAACCTGGACTTTGACCTTGATCTGATCTTCGGAACTGACCCAAAGGTAATGGATTTGGTCGTAACCTTACTGTAATTGTATAATTGTCGAAAGAACAATTTCAAAGTGTCTTGGCTGCTTTTAGAATTAAGTGGTTAGATCAATTATTCCGTTGAATTGTTTTAGGGGTCAGATTACTTCTTTCCCATTCTCTCTCCAGTGCGTATTAAATCATTCCTTAACATGGT